GCATTGTCTTATTTCGAGTGCATATTATCTAATTACCGTATTTTAAGACTTTATTATACAAATTTTTACAACATTTGAAAACATAATGAATGTTTGTTTGATCTCCTGCACACCATATTAAAATTAAAAAAAATTTAAAAAATCAATTTTCATACATTTTTTAAAAGCTCCAGGGAGCCGCAAAGGAGGAGCTAGAGAGATTCCAGGGATTCCTTCTGAGTTAGACTTTTGTTTTATTTTTAAACTTTTAACAATAAGAAGCATAAGCTTGAAATATGTCTGCTGTAATTTACCTGAATGTAGCATTCTCCGGGTGGCACAGTTCGCTCTCCAACAATGAACTGCCAAAACAAGATGGCCGGAGCCCACAGGATGAATGACAGGATCCACGCCGCGGCGATCATTAACCCCGCCATCTTGGTTGTCCTTCTGGTCGGGTACGACAGCGGCTTGGTCACGCAGAAGTAGCGATCAAAGCTTATGATCAACAAGTTCATCACAGAGGCGTTTGAGACGACGTAATCTAAAGCGAGCCACAGGTCGCAGACTACCGGCCCCAGCGGCCAGTAGCCCACGATGATGTAGACTGTGTACAAATTCATGCTGAAAACGCCGATGATCAGGTCAGCACAGGCCAGTGAAAACAAAAAGTAGTTGTTGACCGTCTGTAGGTGGCGGTTGACCTTTATGGACAGCATGACCAATATGTTTCCGGTTACAGTCACAAAGCTCAGAGATCCCGTCACCAGAGCGATAAAAAACATCTCCAGAGTTTTATACGGACTCCCGGCCCAAACATGGCTGTCAGAAAGAGAGCAGGAGGTTGAACTGTTGCTGGACTCATTGCAGGTGATGTTGGAGAACAGGTCGGCTGAGTTGTTGTCCAACGACCCTGAAGGAAGAAATAAAGAAGGTGAATCAGGAGGATTCTTGTATTTTCATACGCTTCAGTAAAACAGCTAAGAGGTTAACCAGGAGAGCCCCAAACACACAAACCCCATTTCACTAAACCACCCAATGTGCCTCATGGATCTGTTCAGATCATGTCAGCTCACTTCAGACTGATTAATTTTCTATCGTAATGTAGAAACAGCTCTAGCAACATGGCCGTACAGTCTGATAAGATGTGGTTCGTTGATACAACACAACAATAACCAGCTTCATTCATTGTACTTGGTGGTAGACTCGGTGGATGAAGATTGACGAGAAAGGTTGTGAGCGGCTAGAGCTATCAATACGGGAATAAACTGAAGGATGCAAGCTGGAAGCAGGAAGCTAATGCTACCTACTGCTAACTTGCTATCGTGGTGCATCTATACACAATTAGCCTAGCATAAAATGATTTAACGGTTGGCTATATCAATCGTCAACATAAGTGGTGATTAGCGACATTAGCCCCTAGCTAATCAACAACAGTACTCCGATGTAGCATTTTCAGTACGACTTGGATGTTTGAAACCGCAAGTAAGTAGGCATTAAAACTGTAACATATCCACATAACAGATACTAATAGATCGCAGCAGAGCGTCGAGACGTACAGTGTAAGAACAAACATTGCTATGAACTTTTAGACCCTGCAGGTTTGTCGTACAGTTTGACCTGTAAAAATATAAAAAAATATTGTGCTGTGCAGGAATGAAGGAATGAAGAGAATCAAGCAACCAGTGGAGGAGTATAAACGCCAAACAGAACAAAGAATGGAGTAATCAACAGATTGGGAGCAGGTGTGGACAGAAGGATCTAGAAGAGATCTCAGGGGAACGAAACCTGGCACAAGGGGGCAGCAGAGAGTAAATAAGAAATACATAAGAACTCAAATGCAACCAAGAAAACAAATAAAAAATGACACTAATTGGAAATAAAACCAATAAGCTAGAAAACACAGTCGAGAAAAAGCAGAATCATGACAGATATCTCAAAACATATCCATTAAGGATGGCTTTAAATATCTAGCAGTGGAGTGACAATTTCATTCTTGAGTTTCTTTGTATCCTTTCTGATTTTACTGTTTTCTATGTTCACTCTTTCTGTTGTATGTTGTCACTCAGGATATCAGTCAGAGTCACAGCCTGGACACAAACGCAGCTTCTAGATGGACAATGTCCTTCAGCATACCGCTAAAATAACCACAGAGTGCTTTGAGGCGCGCCGACAACAACAAGAAACGCCCACTGGACAAGTTTATGCAAGAAACCTGGAAAAAACAGCTTATTCTAGAAAACAATATGAAATCCTGAAATCTATATCAATGAAAAATAAAGATTTGACTTTAATATGTCTGAAAAAATGTACCAAATTAATCGATTACTGAAATAATTGTCAATAGCAATCAATTACTTGTTAACTGGAGTAGCAAACATGCCTTTAGCTGACAGAGCGACATAATTAGAGGAGTCACTATACCAAGATTGTGAAAAGATATGTAAATATTTTTCATTTAAGATTGAAAAAAGACTTTTTCTCCTTTCTATACGCTCTATCCAAAACTCTACATGTCGGGAACTTTTAGTTTCACCTGCTTTATTTCTGTAAAAAATCTTCTTTAAGGAACCTTTCGCTTTCCGATTCTTAAGTGATTAGACAAAAAAAGTAT